CCATTGCCATTATTAATACTACTTTGAGGTTGCAATGCTGAAAAAATGAACCATTGCCATTATGTTTCACAAATATATTTTGGTCTGCGTCTAACATCTGGAGTGGTTCATTGAATAGCTCGTTCCTTTTTCTTAGCAAGATAAATTTTACCGGTAGTAGTTTTTTCTTACCTATAACAGGTTGCCTATTATAAGTTTTATTTATGCATCTATTTCCCTGGATGACCTTTTTAATTTTGTTTGAGTGTTTTCAATGGAAATGGTATCTATTTTTATTGTAATTTTATTTCATTTAATGCTAGTTCATCAAATGAATAATTTGTTAGCGATGTACTCAAGCAAATGTTGAAACTTTTCAATTTTGTAGGACATGAAAATGAAACTACCTATAAGTAGTTAGCAGCCAAGAGTGCCTTCATGGGAGAAAGAATTCTGCAAAGTGATTGGTTCACTAGATTGGGAAACATCTTTGCACATGAAGAAATTCATTCATCTATACAATAATGTGCTCCAATGGAATGACTTCACAGGGGAAGAGGCCTTTAGTAATGCCAAGAAATGATTTGGGTAGTTTGTGACTAGTAACATTTGTTTGGAGAGAGATGTAGACTTGGTATTGGATTCCTCTAATTTTATTTCATTTTGAAGTTCCTTTTTATGTATGTAGTGTTGTATCACATTCCAATGTTCAATTGTATGGATTCAAAAAATTATAATGAAATTATCAATTTTTATTGCAATTCCAAAATTTATTCATAAGGAGTCATTTTTAATTTTGCCAATCAATTTGCATAAATTGCTGAACGTTACCGTAGGGGTCCTACTCTACGACAACACCTAGATTTGCAAGACATGTCCAAACATTGCAAAAGGTCTACGGCAACATTTTTCCGTAGGCTGTTTATGTTGTAGTGATCCTAAGATCGATTCTTAAGAAAAAAAAATTTAAACCATCCTTAATTCCAGTCTAGAGTTTGCCTGAATACAAATAGAATCAAGATCTAGGGTTTTCTAATCTATTCCAGGAGGTACACGCTAGCGAGAAGAAAGAGAGAGGTGAGAAGAAATTGACCGACTTTCTTAATAACAATAACTCTGAAACAAGAAGGTTTTTTTCCTCCATTCAGAAGAGATGTTTTATTCAATAAAACAACGTGAAAGCATACAAGGACAGCAACAAAGTCCTTTGCGTACCCAAACATGAATTGCAGGAACAAAAGCTGTACAAACTTTTCCAAGAAAATTGGATTCATCGGTCGAATGGGAGCCTATAAGAGATGGTATGCAAATAAAGCTCAAAACAAGATATGGGGATTATTTACACGCAAATGGAGGTTTATCTCCTTGGAGAAACTCGATAACTCACAATACCCCTCATAGACATTATGATTGGATTTTATAGGACATTGATATTGTCGATCTAAGCTCATCGTCCTTTCATTTAATGTCCCCCACATTCCCAAATCTTTAGGTTTTTTCTCATGTTTAATTAGTAATACAAGAAAGACAGAACAATCTTTTTCAACACTATATACTAAACATGTTGTTCTTATACATGGCCATTTCAATGCTCAGACTAGTGGTTCGATTGATGATTAACCGAGGAAATTGAAGGATGGCTTATATATTACGAGGTCGTGGATGAGTTTGGCAAAGTTAATGATGCGATCTAAGGGCCTTCATTTCAATTCAAAAGGCATGGATTGGAATAATTAAATCAGAAGTTGGAGGAAGAAACGTGGCTTGAATACATAATTGTTTGTTCTTGAAGTAAATGGAAAGCTTTATCCGCTTCGATTGGCTTTGCCTCTCAGCAATGCAACTATGAATGTCGGCGTAGTTCCCTCAACATCCAGAGGTCCAGTGTTCTTTTTATGCTTATCATGGGACAATAAAATGAATAAAATTGTAGTTTCTTTATCTTTCATCGAGTGTTATCCATATTGACTACTTTTTAGGTGTCGCATTATCAGTTGATTTTAATACTAATAAAATATATGATTTCTTCTCCTTTTGACAGTGGCAAGTGAGTTCGTACTGGAGACTTAAGTTGAAATCGTGTACCAATTGGGCAAGTTGCTCAATTGGTACCAGGATTCAACTTAAGTCTCCCATATAATGGAGGTCTTGGGTTTGAATCTTGGGGGACGCATCAGAAAGTCATGAGGGGATAAGTGGGCAGAAGCCCACCTCAGAGCGGACAGTACGTAATATAACGGCTTCGGTGAGAGGCCGGGTCGTTATAAAAAATGCGCGTTTTTTTTAATGCCTAAAACTTCCATAACCTACTTTAATTACTATCTCATTTTAATTAAAAGACAACCCTTCACTTTCTTGAGGGTACTCCAAGACTACCTATAAATAGGTGCATGGTTTCACTTCAATATCACCCNCCAATGTTAGTCCAACATGTTTTAAAATGAATAGATCTCATGTAAGTTCATAGTGCAACCCAGGCCCATTTTCTTAAAATGATTCGATGAAGTTGGACGAAATTTTAATGTTTTTCGAATGTTAGACTGGACACTTTTTGTGACAAAAAATTATCTTACTCCCATGATTAAATCGTATTTAGAACTTACTGTAATTGAAGAAGGCTAACCGGAATTTTTTTCACATTTCGATCGACCGAAGTATCGACTGAAATTACCAAAATTGAGCAACTTGCTCAGTTGGTACCAGGATTCAACTTAATTCTCCCATATGATGGAGCTCTTGGGTTCGAATCCTGGGGAACGCATCAGAAAGCCGTGAGGGGTAAGATGGGCCTAGGCCCTCCCAAAGCGGACAGTACATACGATATGATGACGGCTCCGACGCGAGGTCGGGTCGTTATAAAAAAGCGTGTTTTTTATAAAGACCCGGCCTCTTGCCGGAGTCGTTATATTACGTACTGTCCGCTCTGGGATGGACTTCTACCCACTTATCCCTTCACAGCTTTCTAACGCATCCCCTAGGATTCGAACAGAAGACCTCCATCATATGGGAGATTTAAGTGGAATCCTGGTACCAATTGAGCGCCTTAAGTCTCCCATATGATGGAGGTCTTGGGTTCGAATCCTGGGGGACGCGTCAGAAATTTGTGCGGGGATAAATGGGCAGAAGCCCACCCCAGAGCGGACAGTACTTAATATAACGGCTCCAGTGAGAGGTCGGGTCATTATAGAACAAGAGGTAGAGGAAGAAGTAACAGACAAACTGAATGCAAAAATCCTTGTCAAATCTATGGGCTAATGAATCATCAAGTTGGTTGGTATTTCAAGAGATATAATGAAAACTTTGGAGGTTTAAAACCTGGAGAGGTGGCAGGCTCTAGTCGCAGCAACATTGATAACCACTCAGCCTATCTGGCCTCTCCTAATATACTGGAAGATCGTGCATGGTATGCAGATTCTGGAGCATGTCACCAATAACTTAAAGAATCTGACAGATGCACAGATATACACTGGTAATGAAAGTATTAAGATCGGCAATGGTAATTCCCTACCTATCACTCATACTGGCTTTAAAATTCTGTCTGATAATGGAAATATAAGTCTGGTTCTGAATAAACTTTTACATGTTCCTGGTATTAAGAAAAAATTTACTTAGTGTGTCACATTTTATTGGAGATAATGGAGTCTATTTTGAGTTTCATCCTAACTTTTGTGTTGTCAAGGAACTACTAACGGGGAAACCGGTGGCTCAAGGGATGCTTAAGGATGGACTCTACCAGTTGACTATACCAAAAGCTCACTCTCAAGAATCAGCTCTAACAATCTCAAAATTCCCAGTGCTTACTTCCTCTTCAATCTGTAATAAACCTCACACTTAGTCTCAACAAGTAGAAATATGGTATAGGAGACTAGGTCAGCAAGTAGAAATATAGCAAGTAGAAATATGTGCTGAAATCTTGTAATAAACACTTTCCAGTTAATGAAATCTCATTTTTCTGTGACTCATGTCAAATTGGCAAAGCACATAAACTACCATTTAAGCTGTCTACTTCACATGCCACAAATCCTTTAGACTTAATACACACTGATGTCTGGGGACCTTCACTCGTTAAATCAACTGTAGGATTTAGGTATTACGCAGTCTTTGTGGATGATTTTAGTAGATATACCTGGACTTATCCTATGAAACACAAGTCAGAATCTATAAAGATCTTCATACAGTTCAAAAATCTGGTAGAAAATAAATTTGATAGGAAGATAAAAACGGTTCAAACAGACTATGGGGGAGAATTTAGAGCTTTTGAGAAGTTTGCTGTAGAAAATGGGATAGAAATAAGGTTCTCTTGTCCATATACTTCAGCTCAAAATGGTAGAGCTGAAAGAAAACATAGACACTTGACTGAAACTGCACTTAACTTGTTAGCACAAGCTGAAATACCCCTTCACTATTGGTGGGAAGCTTTTTCAATGGCTACCTACCTTATAAACAGGCTTCCAACCCCTGTTTTTGACCAAAAAACACCTTATCAAGCCTTATACAAAAAGGGAGTGGAATATGAAACATTGAGAGTATTTGGTTGCAGCTGTTACCCCTATTAAAGACCCTACAATAAATACAAATTCTTGTTTCACTCTTAGAAGTGTGTAAACTTAGGTTTTAGTGCATCACATAAAGGATATAGATGTCTAAGTCCTACAGGAAGGGTGTTTATCTCCAGACATGTAGTGTTTAATGAGGCTGAATTTCCTTTCAAAATAGGTTTTCTTGATAAACTCACACATTCAAATGACTCTACCATAATCACATATCCACTGCCACTGGGACATAACTCTGAAAGTTTAACCTCCACACACACATCAGAACCTAGCACTCTACTTTCTCCACCAATTCATCAGTTAGATACACCAAATTTTGCCACTCCCATCCAAACAACTCAAGATGTCCATCACTCAGCATCCCAGCCACCTTTAATTCCTGTTAGTAGCTCTAACAACATATAAGATACAGGAAGAAATAATATACAATATGAAGGAGTGGAAGAATTGGGTGATGCTGTTTCTATTATGAGGGAAACAGAAGGAAGAATAGAAACCAGAGAAAATGCTCACTCTGAAGCTGATTCACTACAGACAGGACATCCCATGGTGACAAGGAGAAAACTTGGAATATTCAAACCTAAGGTTTACTCAGCTGAAATTTCAGAATGAAACACTATCAGGGAAGCTTTATCTAATAACAACTGGAGAAGAGCAATGAAGGCATGTTTGAGGCACTACAAAGAAATCAGACCTGGGAACTGGTTCCTTGAGGAAAGGCCACCAAAGTGATAGGTTGTAAATGGATCTTCAAAGTGAAATATGACAGCGAGGAAAACATAGAAAGGTACAAATAAACTGGTTACTCAGGGTTTCTTGCAGACACATGGAGTTGATTTCAAGGAGACTTTCAGTCCAGTGATTAAGGCATCAACTATAAAGATCATTCTAACTTTGGCAGTGACAAATGATTGGGATATCAGATAAATCGATGTAAATAATGCTTTCCTCAATGGTAAGCTTAATGAAGAGGTATATATGTCTTAGTCGGAAGGATTTGTTGACAGCAATTTTCCTGATTTTGTGTGTAAATTAAGAAGGGCACTCTATGGACTGAAACAAGCTCCAAGAGCTTGGAATGATAAGCTGAAAGGGACATTAATTAAATGGGGAATGACTCAATCCAAAGATGATAATTCTCTCTACTATCAGTCGGAAGAAAACGACACTATCATTATACTTATATATGTTGATGCTATCATTGTTACAGGCAGTAACAAACAACAATTGCAGGACTTCATTGATAAATTAAATGAGAAGTTTTCACTTAAAGACATGGGGAGCCCAAAGAAGTTCCTGGGATGGAAGTAAAAAGAGATGAAGCTGGGTTGTTGTTCTCACAAAACAAGTATGCACTGGACATCATAAAAAGGTTTGGCTTTAGCAATCTAAATCCAGTAACAACTCCTACGGTGTCTGGAAAACTGGTCTCAAAGGAGGAAGGCAGAGAGTTAAGCAATCCAACTGTCTTCAGAAGCTCAGTTGGTGCTCTGCAGTACTTAGTTCATTCTAGGCCAGATCTGTCATTCGCTGTCAATAGACTAAGTCAGTTTCTGCAGAAACCAATAGACATTCATTGGAATATGCTAAAAAGGGTCTTCAGATATATTAAGGGAACTGCAAACTTTGGACTTAGAATATAGAAAACAGGTGATCTCAACCTGACTGCATTCTGTGATGCTGACCGAGCCCCTTGCCCAGATAATAGGCGATCAATAGCAGGTTACTATGTATATCTGGGAGGAAACCTGATATTATGGAGTGTAAAGAAGCAACACGTTGTAGCCTGTTCAAGTACAGAAGCCGAATATAGAGCCTTGGCACATGTAACTTTTGAAATTTGTTGGATACAGGCTCTACTCAGTAAACTCAAAATTCATTCCAAAACAACTCCTGTTGTGTGGTGCGACAACCTAGGAGCTAAGGCATTGGCATTGAATCCAGTTTTTCATGCCAGGACTAAACATATTGAGCTAGACATACATTTTGTGAGAGACAAGGTCGCCAATAAAGAACTAGAGATTGAATATCTACCTTCCACAGATCAAATTGTTGACATATTTACAAAACCACTACCTTCATCTAGGTTTCTTTCTATGTGAGACAAGGTAGGAGTGAGATCCACTGTGGGTGTGGGTGGGGGGGGGGGGGGGGGGGGGGGGGGATAAACTTGAAACTGAAAATTTGGAGGATGACTTTGATAAGAACTCAAAGTTTGAGAAAATGTAAGAAGGTGAAAAACACGACTTATCCTTTGTGCAGCTGACTTTTCTCTTTCCTTGCTCTTTGCAGTGATGTGCAACTTATTTTCGGATTCCTCTAGTTAGGTATTCCAGCATTTTAGGGGTTTCCCATTTTGGATAATGGATTCTGAGAGGTCAGGTTGTACAATCCGTTTTGGATATTTTGCATTGTTATATTCATGTATTGTATGTATAGGTCATTGGTTATTTATAGACTAGTGGATTGTAATCATTAAGGATATAGAGAGATAAATAGAAATTCTTGATTGTTCATTAGTAAGCCTATCTTCTCGTTTTATTCTATTTGAGGGAAAGGAAAGTTGTCTGAATGCAGGAGTGTCGACAATTTCAAACGAGGCTAGGCTTGTGGTCTCAGAAACTGTTGTTTTAAGGGACATCTACAATGTTGATTTTCGCATTCAAGACTCGAGGATCTATAATGAGACTGTGATCACAATGGCCACCGAAAATGCCGTTAATGACTCCCAAGAACCCAACACTATAGACCTGAAGCTCAGCCACGTCGAAACTAATATCGCCACTTGGAACGTCAGTGTTTCCTTGAAGTTGGGTGCCAAAGAAATCGGGACTCCAAAAATCACTGATGGTAAGGTTGAATTATCAGGTGATTTTACTAGAATACACATGCACGGTGAAGCTATGACAACCACCCAAACACTGGAGACCACATATAAGGTTACTATTCCGGCAAAGACTAGAGTAAGGGTAAGTATGCTAGCAACTAAGGGTTCGTGTAATGTTCCTTTCTCCTACACTCAGCATGATACTTTTACCCATGGGCAACAAGTTACCTACTACATGGATGATGGTGTTTAAATTGGCGTCAATTCCTACAACTTCAAGTATGAGATTAAACAAGAATCGCTCCAATATCACTTGTTGAGAATCCGGTCAAATAATTAAAGACAAGAATAATATGAGCAATATGAAAAATAATGGATCACATGAAAGAAGATGATAATGTACTATACCAAGAAATTCAAATTGTCTTTATAAGATTTTATTCTCTCAATTTAAATCTAAACAATTCTCTCAAATTTCTATTGTATACGACAATGATCTAATTGTTATCTTCTATATCACTCAAGTCTATACCTTGTGGAGAATTTATAGGAGCTAAATCTTGAAGTTATGGATGAAGTAGAACCCAAAATCGCATAAGAAACCAAAAGGAATGAAATTCCTTCCAAACAGGTCGGCACAACGGCGCTACCCGCTCGGCGCCCAGCGCCTCGACGCCGGCCAATCTTTTTCTTTTTCTTGATGTGCGATGCATTTCGGTTCTCCTGATTCTGTCCCAATGCTTCCAATAACATTTTCTTATCCATTCCAATGTCTTTATCCTAATCAAACTTTCAATCCATGATGAAATTTGATCCCTTATCAAACATGACTTCTAAACCAAATTTATTTAGACTTCAAACTTCCAAATCACATGGAATTTGAGTTAGAAAACATAACAAAAGAAAGAAATATTTTTTCTTATAAAAATAAATTTGAATTTTTTTATGGAATTATGATAACGATTATCTTGAAATTGTCATGCTTCTTTCCTATGATAATATTTTACTTTTTTCGCTTCAAATCTTAATCTGTGGATATTTCCGTAGGCAAAAAATGTATAATAATAATTAATGGATCGGGTCAATTTCAAATAATTAGCCCACTTAAGTACATTAAATTGGGATTCTTGAAGACTTTGATAGAATTTATTTAAGTGATGACTTATTTGGATTTCATGGTTTTTTTTAGAGATTTGTGTGGAATTAGTGGAAGTCTTTTGTAGACTTTCATAAACTTTCCTTTTAAAACTTTTAGAAACTTTTGTAAAATTCAAAAGACTTTTGACAACTTTAATTTGAAATAGAATTTATGTGGATTTAGTGCAATATTATGAAATTACCACATACGAGGTGATGCTTCTCACAATTCTCCATTCTCCTTCCTTTTTTCCCGATATAATATCTTTTTAAAAGAAGAATAAAAATTTAAGACCTTAATTAAATAAATAATAATTATTATACATATAAAAAATAAATTTAATATTCAGTATTATTAATATAATATACCTTTAAAGAATAGATAAAAAATATTTAAATTTAATTATAAATTAATCTATATAAAATTATATAATTTAATTAAAAATATATATTAATAAAAATTTAAAACATTAATTAAATAAATAATAATTATTATACATATAAAAAATAAATTTAATATTCAGTATTATTAAGATAATATACCTTTAAAAAATAAATGAATAATATATTTAAATTTAATTATAAATTAGTCTATATAAAATTTTATAATTTAATTAAAAATAAATATTTTTCAGAAAAAATGAATCAAAAAAGAAGTTATAAGAATACAATTTAATTCTTTCATATAAAATATAAATAAACAATATGAGAGAAAAAATAGAATCTAATATAATTAATAGAAAACAATAAATTTTAATTATAACTTTAATGTTCATAGAATGGAAAATGAAAGAGAAATATTGAAAAAAAATACATATTGATTTCTTTTCTTTTCTTTTTTTTTTATATGAAAGTCTCCCAAAATCTTGTGATTAATGAGAGACAAATTTTGAGATTTTATTTTAGTAATTTCTGCTTAAAAGTTAGTACAATTGAGACTTTTATAAAAGTCTCTAAAAGTCATAAAAATTTGAATATCCCAAAACATATAGAGACTTCAAAAAATTTTAATTGAATACACAGTGACTTTTAGAGACTTTTTAAAAGTTTATAAAAGTTTTAATTGAATATACCAATACTTTTAGAGAGTCTCCAAAAGTCTACACTGAATACCCCTAAACTTTTTAAATCTCAAAAAGTTATTAAAAGTTTCAATTAAATACACCTCCTAAAACTAAATTCTATTAAAACCCACATAAAAAAAGCCCATGAAAGAGGTCCATCCTACTCTTAAAATTCAATAAAATAAATCAAATCAAATCATGGGTGATTATAAAGTTGTTACCATTTTCTTTATAAATAGGACCAAAGGTCCATAAAAAAATGGAGAAGTGAAAAGCTACACAAAAATTCAGAAGTGCGGAAGAAATCCAAAGGCCGGTTAAAGAGAAGAAACTCTCTCAAGCCAAGTTTAGAAATTCCAAGAAGATCAAAGTCTTCTTCAAATTCAAGCAAATCCAGGAAAACCCAAGTGTTTTTCATACCAAATCAAATTCAAGTCCAAGTCTTGAAGTTCAAATCCAAGTGTTAAACAAGCTAAATTCTCGACTAGTCAAGTCTTCAACAAATGTTGAAATCCAGGATTCAAACCACGTGACCCCTCGTCTTCAGACATTTAGATTATCAATCAGAGGATTGTGCATTTTTTGTAGTCACAAGAAAATCAGTATCCACTTTTATTTATCAAAATACAATTTGTAGCAATTTTTATATTTTAATATACGAAATTTGTCGTACAAATTTATGGCACGCTCGGTGGGACCTTCTTGTCCTCTCATCTCTTTATTTCAGAATTTTCAAATTTCAAACCAATACATCAATGATGGCAAGCAAAAAGGCGAAGAAAACTGTCAATCGTCTTGAAGAAACACTTGCTGAACTCTTTCATATGACCAGAGCCCAAACAAAAATTGAGAATACTCAATTGGTCTCACCACTGAGGAAGTTTTCCAACAAAGGCAATATAAAAATTTCCTTCAAAAAGCCGAGCTCTCGTTCGACACAAAAGACTAAGAGTTTGGCGAAAAGCTCTCATTTTGATTCCATCTCAGGCGGCAGATCCATGTCCGAATCCTCTCATACCACTCATCCACAAAGGTGGGAGACTATACTTCATCTGAAGAATCATTCGAGCTAGTGATGGTCACTGAGGCAACGTCAGGCTCTGATGACCGAAGCCAACAAATGGCTTTAGCTATTTAAAAGTTAAAAAATTCACTAGATGACAATGATACATAGATTGATGCACTTATGCACAGGATAGAGTTGCAAAATCTGTGGGTGAAAGGCAATCCATAAAATGTAGGGTCTTCAAAAAATAAAGATCCAGAAGTCCAAGAACGCTAACAAAGCAAGATATGCACAACCGGATAATGGTGCAAAATATGTTGTACGACAGCACTCAACTCTCTGTTGCCTCTCTATCCATCTAAAAACTTCAACATATGACTGTAGACACCATTCGTGCCCAATATGGTGGCTCACTGCAATCTTCATTTATTTATCCCAAGCCATACACCCGTCGAATTAATGAAATGAGGATGTCGCTTGATTACTAATCCCCAAAATTCGAATTTTTTGATGGAAAGGGCAACCTCAAACAACATGTGGCTCATTTTACTGAAACGTGTAATAATGCTGGCATTTACAATGATACCATGGTAAAATAGTTCGTACGTTCCCTCAAAGGTGTCGTATTTGAATGGTATACAAACCTACCGGCTAGGTCAGTTGATAGTTGGGATCAGCTCGAGCGAGATTTCTTAACACACTTCTACAACACCATGTGAACTATTAGCTTACCAGAACTTGCTCGAACGAAGTAGAGCAAAGATGAGCTAATTGTAAAGTATATCGAATGCTATAGAAACCTTGCGCTTAACTGTAAGGAATGCATCAGTGAAGCATCTTCCAGTGATGTGTGTGTACAAGGCATGCATTAGGGTTTATTCTATAATCTCTAAGCGTATGCCACTTTCCTCTGAAGAGTTGGCAACACGTGCCCATGACTTAGAGCTCAAAATATCAAGGCATGGAAGTTATTTGCCAAGTGATCCCGGAGAAAATAAAGATCCTAAGAAAGAAATAAAGAGAGACACCAAGACGAATAAGTCCAAAGAAGCTATGACAATCTCTACGCCCTAGCAAGGATAGCCTTCCAAAGGTCGAGCTTGAATCCAAAGCCCAAGCCGGAGTTTAGACCTAACATAGGATAAGTCTAAAGTAGAGGTCATGCAACTTTGAAAGAACTTGAAGAAAAGAAGTATCCATTCTCAGATTCTGAAGTTTCTGGAATCCTAGATCAGCTCTTTGAGCAAAACATAATGGAGCTTCCAGCATTGAAAAGACGGGAAGAAGCTAGGAAAACTGATCATCTCAAGTACTGAAAATTTCACAGAATTATTAGTCACCCGGTGGAGAGATGTTTCGTGCTAAATGATCTTATTGTTCACTTGGACAAAAAAAAGATCAAACTTGAAATTGGAGAAAATCCAATCGCTGCTTGCTCGATGGTCTCATTCGGGTCATTTGACCCAATTCCTATTATGAAGGAGGAGCAGACATTCCCTCTTACATATGAGGCTAGTGAATCCTTGATCGAGTAATTTGGTCTTCAACTTTCACAAGGAGCCACCCCGGTGGAGTTTAAGGTAGATGGAGAAGTAACCATCACATACATTTACCAAGAGATGGAAAAGCCACATACACCCAATCAATCGTCTAAACTTTTATGAGATTATGACGGATGACTTGGATGTTTAGGATTCTGATTCAGAGGCTAAAGATAAGGTTGGTGATGGCTGGTCCACCTTCATAAGCAAGAATGAGAAATATTAGAAATCAGATAAAACATGTAAAATATCACTAGGAGCATTGGATATGGAAGTCCAACCCAAGGAAGAAGTAACATCAGAAGAAGATCAAGGGAAATGTACTCTTGTGAAAAGACGTCATCGAAAGGCTCTACAATGTCAAAGTTCCAATTTCTATGACAAAAAAATAAAAACCGAGAAAGAGGCAAAAAACAAAAAGGAAAGTCTAAAGTCAAGTCAAGTCAAGGGCATCTATTAGATCAACTGAATTAAAAACTCCTTCACATGCTTCTTCCAAAATGTT